TATTTTGCTGGTCCCAGTCAAATAAAAACTGAAGCTATTTTGCCAGTCCAGGTAAAATAGACACCAAGGCTATTTTGCTGGTAAATATAAATAGTGTTTTAGAACTAAGAATATATTATATTTGTGATCATCAGTTCAGTGGTCGTTTGAGCTGAGCAAGGCAGGACTTAAACAATATGGATTGTTGTGATTGTTGTCTTCAGTGGGTGTACATTGTTGTTCATGATGACAGTCGTCTTCGAGTATAGAACCCAGAGGTTAGTAGTGAATATTTCGAAGACAGTAGGGAAGCGTAGTTCAGGTTAGCAGTGGATATACCGGTAAAGTAGCAGAGCGTAGTTCTTCCTTCTGTTCCTCTTCGCCTGACAAGCTGGCACTGGACATTCGGATAGAGTAAACAATATGGCTGCCTTTATACACGACGGATTGAATATTCTACGTCTTCTGATTGGTTAACCTTCTATTGGTGGACTATAAAGTGAGTCAAGTCATCTGGGTTGGCTCACTAGTAGTTTAATGTATCCAAAAATTGTAACATATATGAAGTGTATTGCCAAGAGAATCATGTTCAAGTACAAGTTTGGGATTTGCAGAGACTTATATGTGAAATGCTTAAAATATTCAGAGACTTCGATATTTCTTTTAATAAATTGATGATGGATACCGTTTTTGACGGTATATGAGACGCACCAGTGTATAAGACGCACCCCAATTTCAGCAAGGCAAATGAAGAAAAAATTAGTAATTAGTAAAATTAGTAAACGTACATATGGCATATAAGACACAGGGGAATTTCAAAAGGTATTTCTCGTAAAAATAAAGTGCGCCTTATAAGTTCTCAAATACGGTAAATGATTTTAACAAGTGAGAATTGAAAAGATTTTAAATCAAAAATTGATGGCGAAAATAAATAAAATTATGTGTGCCGTTATTTTTAGTATTACCTGCCTTCATAATAATAAAAATATTTTCCGGCCAAATAGCCTGGGAGTTAATTTTACCGAGAACACTAAAATTAGCTTAAAAGCGTCTTTGTCTATTTTACCGGCACCGGCAAAATATCTTTTTCCTTTCTCTTTTCTTTCTTTCTCTGTTTGCTTCTCCCTTTCCCCAGTCTATAGCCTCTATCGATTCTCTAGAATCATATTGATTTTACGTACCCAACATCGGGAAAATAGCTTATTCTGAGATGATATCTTCTGTCAACCCGTCGCTTACCAACACATTCATTCCTGTCTCTGTCTACCTTTCTTTCTTTTTAACTTCTCTCTCTTTCTCTCTCTCTCCCTCTCGCTGTGTAATTTTTTCTTTCTTCTATAATCTCTCTTTCTTTT